GAAAAAGCAGCAGTTCTCTGTTGCAGTTCAGGAACAGTTAAGAGCATGACAGTAATGAATCAGCCCATTTACAATTTGCCGATTAGGCATTTTATACTATCACGTTCTCCTGATTACGGTGAACACGCGAACAGGAAGTATACATGCTGAAACAAAATGTAATGTGGAATATGCTGTGCGGTCATTGAGGTGTGTCTCGGAGATATCTACATTCACAATGTTTCCAAGCTTCCCTCTGAAATCATTAAATTTGAATGTATACAAGTTTGAACTGAATTACCCCAAAGGTGAATAAAAGTCGCATTTTTTGTTCTGTTTAGATTTCAAAGAAAAAATTAAAACAAAAATACACTCTTTGTGTAGGCAAGGCTCATAAATTTGTAACACACCAGGCGGCCGTCATATTAAAAAGGAACACGTGCACAACACACACACACACACACACACACACACACACACACACACACACACACACACACACACACACACACCATTATACAACAACATTTGTTTGGACATAAATCGTGACTGAGATCAGCTCGACCTATTTTTTATTTTGTGGACGAGTCCGTGAGCCAAGACTGAAGCCGAGGATCAAGGACTATCGATTTGATGAGATTCTATGTCATCATCACCCCCATCGACGGCAGTGGGTCAAAGCAACAGCCTGATAGTTATCTCAGTTCTACTTGTTCGTCTGTTTGCTCATCCCCGTGTCTTGTTTCTGTCTTTATGGTCTACGTAAATTGACAATTTCTCTTAGAAAAGAATCAAATTGCCGACGCTTTTTCCCTTGCCTTGTGAAAATTTCATGTCGTCCTAGCTAGCCCATGTCAAAATACAAGACTGATAATCGTATTACAGCCAGTGCCCGCGGTATCGACTACTTGAACTTCAGAGCGACAACCGCTGTTGTCTTTCATAGACGTCATGCAAACTCGCTGTTTATGAAGACTGGTACCGGAAGTGTACTTGGCTTGGACCAAGCCTGACTCTCCATGTTTTTATTTCTTCCCAAAAGGCTTGGCGGAGTAGTATGTATTGTTTATTTCCACTACTCTTGTTGTATGTTAGCTCTTGGCAGAAGAAAAACAACAAAAAGAAGAATTTACTGTGGTAGCTAATTTGCACTCCCCCCCCCCCTTTCCCCCCTCACCACTCTGGTGCGCTCAAATTTAAAGATATGGTCTTTTATTGAGTTTATTTATGATTATTTCTAAACTTTCATGAGACACGAATGATTTTCTCTTCAAGAGATAGGATATTGCTTGAAGTAAAGAGTAATATGAATTCTAGACTACGTATCTACAAGATGGACAATGAACCATTAACATAACACATTGACCCTCCTTTGCCTTCCAAGTGTAATTCCTCCCAGGAACAGTTTCTGCTCTTTGGTACCCCCTGACCAATTGGCAGTAGGGAGAGATGGCTGCTCCATCAATAAAACATCTCTGCTTGCCTGTGTGTGTCTACGATCGATACGGCTGCTTGTGGCAGGAAGCGCCCGGAGGTGCCAGCCAGCCTGCCGTACATTGCCCGCGTACACTCCATACAACGACACCGCAGTTCCGTAGCTAGTAGCTCGGAAGGCCTCTGTCATGATTAGTAGACTGGAGGCAATATTTTCTTAGATGTGCTGCTAGACTCGTTTCCTTCTCTTTAAGTTTCAGAACGCAGTATTTTGCGCTAGTAGAGACTTTTGAGTTGTTGTGTTGGGTTTTTTAAATGTCAGCACCTTATTATTTCCCCTTACGCCTTACTCGTTTCGCGTTGCTTCGTGTGTAGGCATGGCAGCTTAGTTGTGGTTACACTTGTGCAGCTGCTGTTTAGAAAAAAACTAACTTGAAGCCTTTCTCTACTCGGTTCATGGTTTCTGTTCTGTTCCAACGCCGAGGGAGAAGCACAACAGCACCTGATTGGCTCGCTCGGTCGACCTGTGGTCATCTCATCGCTGGACAACTTGACATAAATCCATTGGCTTCATTCTCTGCCGTAACCTCCGCCTGAATGTGGAAGCCAACATCTTCTGGACTTGATTGATTTTCTTAGTGTGCGAGGCTCAGGTATAATGTAGTGCACGTTGTTTGCCTTGTATGTTGGTGTTCTTGTACTTGTTGATTCATCCCAAAACTCCTCTTGTTTATCGGTAAAGCTGATCTATCTTGTCTTAGAGGCTAATAGACATGCTTTTAAAGCTCTACGGTATATCTTTTCTGCTTCCAAGAAGCCGGAGGTTGGGCTGCGTGTGTGTGTGCATATA